TTCTTGTAGATATTTAATTGTTTTTAAATCGATTTGATCTTCGATGATTATTGGCGGGATTTTTGCCTCTTTCGTGGTGATGCTCTTGGGTGGCACGGTTTGGACGCCTGGGGTAGATGGCTCCTCTATCACTCACTCTCCCTATTGGTATCAATGTCTGTACGGTTCGAGAGCGCATAATATTTATTTGTTAGTGCAGTGCTTATCTGCACTTCCATCTTTTGATATCTTGCCGACATCTTGAGTTTTTTCCCGGGCCCCTGCCCGGGAATTGTTCTGCTCCCTGAAGGATTTTTCGTACAGATTTTAAAGTTTATTAATTTTTAACTTCCCGTAGGGTAAGTTATTGTAATGGGCCGAAAATCGGAATTGAAAATTTTTACATTTCTCGACGTTTTGAAGGTTTCTGAACATTTTGGCATACCTCAGAAAAAATGGATGTGTGTGTGTGTGTGTGTGTATGTGTGTGTGTGTATGTATGTGTGGATACAAATTTCCAGTCACGTTTTAGGGCGCACGGATCAACCGATTTGAATGGTTCAAAAAACATTCGATTCCTATTGATAGAGAAAAGAGCTGATTAGTTTTTGGCAAAGGCAGGTCCAGCCGTTTCGGAGATACGGAGCAAAGAGTGCGGAAAATAGAAATCGAATTTTTGAGAGAACGGAGTATCCGATTTGAATGATCTAAAAAACATTCAATTAGTAATGATTGGGAGAAGTGTTTATTAGTTTTTGGCAAAAGCAGGCCCAGCCATTTCGAAGATACGGAGCTAAATATGTAAAAAATGGCAGTTTTTGAGAGAACTAAGCGTCCGATTTGAATGATTCAAAAAACTTTCTGCTTGTCTTAACAAAATAATTGATTTTGGAAAAAAAAATTTTGTTCCATCTTTTTTTTTTTTTTTTTTTTTTTAGTTTTTTGTTGAAACAAATAATTTCAACTTTGCAATTCAGTTTATTTAATTCTTAATTCTTAATTATAATTTATATAATAAATATTAGACAATGTTACAATATTAATAATAATCTATTTGAAAACATTCAGTATTCCTCGAACATTTCGTTACGGTACGGGAAGTTCCAGCAATTTGCCTTAAGGCACGATGCCACCCACCCCACTAGTTTTTTTTTTTTAATTTCAATAATTATTAACTGCTATTATTAACATAATATTGATAAATAATAAAATAAATTTAAATAAATAAAAGTGCAAAGAATAAAATTTACATGAAAATAATATCCGTAATATGATTTGATATAAAATATAAGCAAACTAGTGGGGTGGGTGGCATCGTGCCTTAAGGCAAATTGCTGGAACTTCTCCTACCGTAACGAAATGTTCGAGGAATACTGAATGTTTTCAAATAAATTATTATAAATATTGTAACATTGTCTAATATTTATATAAGTATTATATACTGAATTGCAAAGTTGAAATTATTTGTTTAAAGTATATTAGAACTAAAGTCAGAATTAAAATAAAATCTGAATTATTTTCGATATACAAAAAATTAAAAAAAAAATGAAACAAAAAAATTAATTTTTCCAAAATCAATAATTTTTGTAAGACAAGCAGAAAGTTCTTTGAATCATTCAAATCGGACGCTTAGTTCTCTCAAAAACTGCCATTTTTTACATATTTACCCTCCGTATCTTCGAAATGGCTGGGCCTACCTTTGCCAAAACTAATAAACACTTCTCCCAATCATTACTAATTGAATGTTTTTTAGATCATTCAAATCGGATACTCCGTTCTCTCAAAAAGTCGATTCTATTTTCTGGCACTCTTTGCTCCGTATCCCCGAAACGGCTGGACCTGCCTTTGCCAAAAACTAATCAGCTCTTTTCCCTATCGATAGGAATCGAATGTTTTTTGAACCATTCAAATCGGTTGATTCGTGCGCCCGAAAACGTGACTGGAAATTTGTATCCATACATACATACACACACACACACACACACACATCCATTTTTTCTGAGGTATGCCAAAATGTTCAGAAACCTTCAAAACTTCGAGAAATGTAAAAATTTTCAATTCCGATTTTCGGCCCATTACAATAACTTACCCTACGGGAAGTTAATAATAATAAAAATAAAATTAATAAATAATATAAATATTTCTGAATAATAAAATAATACTAGAAAAATAATAAAATATAACAAAATAACAATAATAGAAATAGTAAGATAATAATAATAATAATAATTAATAATAATAATTAATAATAATAATTAATAATAATAAAAATAATAATAATGATAATAATAATAATAATAATAATAATTTACAAATTTATAAGATAATTTGGAATTTTTCGTTTTAGCTTTGTTGGGCGCGCTTCTGAGTATACTTTGTTTGCCAAGTAATTTGGGTGTTCGTCTATTCTTTTTTTGTAGTTGTTTGTTTTTTGTTGAATTTCTTCGTTTACTGTCATTATGTTGCTGTCCTGGTGAATCAACCAGTTGGGAACGTACCTAGGTGCGTTCAGTGCCTGGCTTATGACTGCACTCGCTGGATAATCTGTAGATTGGTTTTTTTGGCGGTGCCCCATAGTTGAATCTCATAAGACCACACTGGTTTAAAAATACATTTATAAATAATTAGTTTGTTATTCGTCGATAGTTCGGAACGTTTATTCAATAGCCAGTAATGTTTTTTGAATAGTTCATCAATCTGCTGTTTTTTCTTGTTAATGTGAACTCTCCAGTTCAATTTTGTGTCTAGGTGTATTCCGAGATATTTTACGCTATCTTTTACTGGGATTTCCTGTCCATTTAACTTAATTGTAGGGCATATACCAGTACGCAGCGTGAAAGTGATATGCGTAGATTTTGAACCGTTTGTCATAATTTAAAGTTTATTAAAATGATATATAAAAAGACTTTACAATTTTGAAAAAAGAAAAACTCTCTAATGGGTGCTTACTTCCTTCTCAATATCAACCCCAACCCGGGGTTTGGGAAGAGAAGCATGCATAAAGGCACGTTCACCTTTAAAATTTTGACAGATAGAACAAGATATATGTTAACTTATAAGTATTAAGCCGATTGCTTTTAAAAAAGCATAATACTTATCTTACAAAAATCGTCTCAAGTATCGTGAACAGTTTAAATTATATTTAATTTTTATGACTAAAATACCAACTTTCTCTTACAATGCTTGACACCGTACTAAATGTGTGAATAAATACAGAAATATTTGAAAAAAATGTATATTATTTTGACTTAATATATTAAAATTGTTTGATAGTTGTATTTTACTGTAATTAATTCAATTAAGATAGCTTATTTTCTGTAATTATTAAATTTAATCCTGTATCCGTAATATAAATATAAATATAAATATAAACTAGCTGTAAGTGGAATTCTGTCTTGAGGCAATTATGGCATCGTGCCTTAAGGCAAATTGCTGGAACTTCCCGTACCGTAACGAAATGTTCGAGGAATACTGAATGTTTTCAAATAGATTATTATAAATATTGTAACATTGTCTAATATTTATAAAAATTATATAAACTGAATTGCAGAGTTGAAAAGTATTATTACTTTTATAATATATAATAATTACTAGTAATTGTTTGTAAAGTATATTAGAACTATAGTCAGAATTAAAAATAAAATCTGAAATATTTTCGATATACAAAAAACTACAAAAAAAAAAAACTAATAAACACTTCTCCCAAGCATTACTAATTGAATGTTTTTTAGATCATTCAAATCGGATACTCCGTTCTCTCAAAAATTCGATTTCTATTTTCTGCACTCTTTGCTCCGTATCTCCGAAACGGCTGGACCTGCCTTTGCCAAAAACTAATCAGCTCTTTTCCCTATCAATAGGAATCGAATGCTTTTTGAACCATTCAAATCGGTTGATCCGTGCGCCCTAAAACGTGACTGGAAATTTGTATCCATACATACATACACACACACACACATCCATTTTTTCTGAGGTATGCCAAAACGTTCAGAAACCTTCAAAACGTCGAGAAATGTAAAAATTTTTAATTCCGATTTTCGGCCCATTACAATAACTTACCCTACGGGAAGTTAAAAATATAAATATAAACTAGCTGTAAGTGGAATTCTGTCTTGAGGCAATTATGGCATCGTGCCTTAAGGCAAATTGCTAGAACTTCCCGTTGAATACTGAATGTTTTCAAATAGATTATTATAAATATTGTATCATTGTCTAATATAAAATAATAAAATGAAATCTGAAATATTTTCGATATACAAAAAACTAACTAGTGGGGTGGGTGGCATCGTGCCTTAAGGCAAATTGCTGGTACTCCCCGTACCGTAACGAAATGTTCGAGGAATATTGAATGTTTTCAAATAGATTATTATAAATATTGTAACATTGTCTAATATTTATAAGAATTATATAAACTGAATTGCAGAGTTGAAATTATTTGTTTAAAGTATATTAGAACTGTAGTCAGAATTAAAAATCAAATCTGAATTATTTTCGATACACAAAAAATTAAAAAAAAAAAAAAAAAAGAATGAAACAAATTTTTTTTTTCAAAATCAATTATTTTGTTAAGACAAGCAGAAAGTTCTTTGAATCAATTGAATGGGACGCTTAGTTCTCTTCATTTAGCTCTGTATCTCCGAAATGGCTGGGCCTACCTTTGCGGAAAACTAATAACCCCTTCTCCCAATCATTACTAATTGAATGTTTTTTAGATCATTCAACTCGGATGCTCCGTTCTCTCAAAAACTCGATTTCTATTTTCTGCACTTTTTGCTCCTTATCTCCGTAACTGGACCTGCCTTTGCCAAAAACTAATCAGCACATCTCCTTATCAATAGGAATCGAATGTTTTTTTAAACCATTCAAATCGGTTGATCCGTACGCCCGAAAACGTGGGCGAAAATTTGTATCCATACATACATACACACACACACACACACACACACAAACACAAACACACATCCATTTTTTCTGAAGTATGCCAAAATGTTCAGAAACCTTCAAAACGTCGAGAAATGTAAAAATTTTCAATTCCGACTTTAGGCCCATTACAATAACTTACCCTACGGGAAGTTAAAAAATATAAAATATATATGATATATACATATATATATATATATATATATATATATATATATATTATATATATATATATATATATATATATATATTGAACTAGTTGGTATTGGTATTTTGCCTTAAGGCAAGTTACATGAACTTCCCGAAATGTATAAATAATCGACTTAATCAATAAAAAATAAATTAACTTATGAGTGATTAAAAGTATTCTGAGTGGATTTATTACACATAATTGAAAATGATCGAACACGTTAACTCGGAGTATTTTCTTAAAGCAAATTTTCAACAATCAACAACAGTTTCCGTATGACTTTAATGATTTAGTATGTTCATTGAGACCAAGTACTCTATCGTTATACCAAGTAAATCGTCTAATTTTACTTTTAACAAACGTCAAAAAACTACTCATTTTCTCAAATTTTGATGAATTTTTAAAATTAAACTACTTGTAAGGCCGTAATATTTCAATAAGATCTATAAGACCATGATATATATCGCCAAAAAAAGTTCCATAAAAATCGGCTTAATTTTTTTTTTTTCAATAGTTAATCACGCGAAAACGGTTTGGTAGATTTTTGCCTAAAACTAATCAGTATCATTCCCAACTATTATCTTTCGAACAGTTTTTGATTTTTTTAAATCTATTCGGTAGTATGAGCTTAAATGTGGACGACAGGTTTAACCCTTTTTTCTAAATTACAAAGAAACGGCTTGGCAGATCGTCGCACAAAGCTGACGAACGATAGTCCTCATTGAAATACATCAAATGGCTTTTAAATTTCTGAAATTCAGTCTTCGTTCAGACTTCGAACGGTTCACATCGCTCAGCCGATACCAGTCATTTACATAATAAATAAAACTGTAAACAATAGTGTTTCTACCTGTGTCAGTACCTGCGACAGTGCCCGCATTGCGTAGTTTATACCGCCAATCACGTGTCCCCATTGCGGGGGACATGGCGTTGTTTATAAACACAGTGACATTTATAATTATTATTTTCATCGTGTTAAATAAGTGTCATTCGACAAGTTAATTTTTCAAAGCCTTAAATCATGAATAATATTTCTGAAAATTTCATCACTGAATCACAACAAATTCTATAAGATGATTCTACAACTAACGCAGAATTTGTCGAAAAGCATATTCTACCACAAATGAATCAACAGCGAACTTCCTCGCAAACGTCAGAAGATATCGAAATGCTTCCAAGTGACAATAATTCGCAATCGCACAAACCATATCCAGTAACTTGCAGAGACATGCGATTCAACGCGCAATATCAAGAGTGGAAACTGGCCATGAGTAAAAAAAGACAGAAAAATGAACCTGTACAAACCGCTAATATCACAAAAAAGGCAACCACAAAAAATTATTGGTTAGATCCGATACCAACCAATAACTATTATAATGCATTACAATCGGTAGCTCCGGAAAACGACAAAATGTACGAACAGCCTTCAACTTCAGCGCCTCCAGTGGAAAAAGTAGTAACTCCGCCACCGATTTTTGTACATGTGGTCAATGATATAAAACCTCTAATAGAATTGCTAGAAAATAATGTTCAGAAACTGTATTCATACAAGACCGTTGGTTTGAAGGAAGTTCAAATTAATACCAAGGATCCCCACACATACAATACTGTCCTCAAATTATTGAAAGACAAAGGTACTCAACTTCACTCATACCAGGAAAAAACAAAAAGGGCATTTAAAATTGTAATCAAAAATCTTCACCATAGTACAGTCATCGAAATCTTGTCAAAAGAAATCTCAGATCTTGGGCATAAGGTCATACGTATTTACAACCTAAGACAGCGTACTACTAAACTTCCGCTAAACATATTCGTGGTTGAACTGCAGCAAGACAAAAATAATCAAAAAATATACACAACTGAATTTTTATATAAAACAAAAGTTATAATCGAACCCATGCGCCATCCTCGAGAAGTTCCTTTATGCAGCAGGTGCCAATGTCTAGGACATACAAGAAACTATTGTACAAAAGATCCACGTTGCGTAAAATGTGCCGGTAATCATCTCACTTCAGATTGCTCATGGAGGGACCGAATAAACAGTAACGTAAGATGTGCATTGTGCGATTCAAACCATCCAGCTAATTATAAAGGGTGCCCAATATATCAAGCAGAAAAACATCGGCGATTCCCACCACTAAGGACAAAAGAAATCTCACAACAACCTACTACAAGTAGCAGACACTCACTAATACGGCCAAATGTTTCCTTTTCTCAAATAGTTAACAACGAACAAAACGCAAATAATCATCAAAATCCTCAAGAACATGAATCATCTACAAACATCAATCAAACAAATGTAAGTTATCAAAATGACATGCATGAATTAAAATCTATGATAAAGACCTTAGTAGATCAAATAGGCATCATGCTCAAACTACTGACAACCGTTCTTCCCAATAACAAATAATGGACACATATTTAAAAATTTGCACATGGAACGCCAATGGTTTAATACAGCACTCACAAGAAGTTAAACATTTCATTATACAACACAACATAGACATACTTCTCATTTCAGAGACACACTTCACAAGCAGAAGTTATATAACGATACCTCAATACTCCATCTATAATACAAATCAACCCGACGATAAAGCTCACGGAGGGACAGCAATAATAATAAAATCAAATATAAAACACCACATCATGGAACCTTTTTGTGCACACTTTCTGCAGGCTACAAACATATCCGTGCCGTACAGTTTTTTCATAAATTTATAACTATATCATTAATCTATTGCCCCCCCAGACACACAATCCTGAAAAGCCAATTTGAGTCATTTTTTAACGCGCTGGGCAACACATTAATTGTTGGAGGCGACTTCAACTCCAAGCACACGTACTGGGGATCAAGGCTCATAAACCCCAGAGGACGATAACTGTACAATACGGTTGCATAACTTAGTCTACTACCCATATCTACTGGCGAGCCAACCTACTGGCCATCTGATCACCAAAGAATACCAGATTTGCTGGATTTCTACATTACCAGAGGTTTTCCAAGAAATTCGCTGACATCTTCCATATATCTGGACTTAAACTCCGACCACTCTCCCGTTTTCTTAAATATACTCAATCATAAACCCATCAACAATCTAAATAAATACTTGACTACTAAGTTTACATGCTGGAAGAAATTTAGAGAGCACTTAGACAACAATCTAAATTGCAACATACCATTAAAATCCGAGAGTGACCTCAACGCTGCTGTAGACCTGCAAACCACATCTCTTCAATGATCTGCCCTAATTTCAACTCCCACGCCGAACAATAATTACAACATTGATTATCCAATACAAATAATAGAAAAAGTGGCTATTAAAAGAAGACTTCGGAAACAATGGCAACTCACAAGATCACCGATGGACAAATCAAAATTAAACAAAGCTTGCAAAGAGCTCAAAACCTTTCTTCGAGAACACAACAATAAGATCTTTGAAACTAAACTAAAAAATCTATCAGCTACTTCAGACACAAACTACTCACTCTGGAAAGTCACCAAAAATTTTAAACAACCAATTATTCCTGTTCCAGCTATTAAAGAAGGAAACAACACATGGGTCAGAAATGAACAGGAAACTTTTTCGAACAAATTTTTTACCCTCTGCCACAGCAATGCAGTACCCAAGAAGAAGAGTTTATTCAAAATTATCTAAAAGATTCTTCAACATACAACGACCGTTCAGACACCCGCTCTTTCTGAAGTAGAACTTGAAATAACGAAGTCAAAATCAGGCAAAGCCCCTGGGCATGATCAAATCACGATACATGTGCTGAAGCAACTCCCACAAAAAACCTTGAGATTTTTAACCATTCTGTTCAACTCCATTATCAGACTAAAAGTATTTCCGTGTTCCTGAAAAATTGCAAAAATAATTCTAATACCAAAACCTGGCAAAGATCCCACTCTGATGGAATCCTACAGGCCAATTAGCTTACTACCAATCTTGTCTAAAATTTTTGAAAAATTACTGCTTAAGAAGATTCATGCAATTTTGAGTAACAAGAACACAATTCCGCAATATCAATTTGGCTTTAGGAAACTCCACTCAACAATCGAACAAACTCACAGAGTAGTCCAGGAAATTAACTCATCTTTACAAGAAAAAAAAAAATTGCTCAGCCGCATTTCTAGATGTCTCATAGACTTTTGATAAGGTGTGGCACACCGGTCTCCTCTACAAGATAAAAACAAACCTTCCAGCTAATTTATACCAACTACTACAATCATACCTGGTGAACCGACAGTTTTTTATTAATATATCACATTGCAACTCTCCTTTGAAGCAAATAAACTCAGGCGTACCACAGGGAAGCGTTTTGGGTCCCACATTATTTTTATTATTTACCTCAGACATGCCTACCATAGCTGACACCAACATCGCCACTTTTGCAGATGTTATCTGCATTCTATCGAAACACGAATGCCCTACAGCTGCGTCTAACGCCCTGCAACAGCATTTAAATTTAGTAGAAATGTGGCACAAATTTTGATGACTTGAAATTAACAATCGAAAATCATCACACATCACCTTCGCGTTAAGAATGGAAACATGTCCGCCCGTCTCTATCAATGGGGTTCAGCTACCTCAGGTTGAACATGTAAAATACCTGGGGTTTCACTTGGACAGAAGGCTTACGTGGAAAAATCATATAATGAAAAAACGTTTCCAGCTTGAAGAGAATTTTAAAAAACTTTACTGGCTGTTGGGTCCGAAGTCCAAACTATCCACTTACAATAAGCTTCTTGTATACAAAGTCGTCTTATAACCAATCTGGACTTACCGCATTTCACTCTGGGGTAGTGCCAGTCGATCTAATATAAACATCTTACAGAGAGCTCAAAACAAGATCCTCAAAAAAATACTGGAGGCTCCCAGGTATGTACCTAATTGGCTTGTTCATCAGGACTGCAACATACAAACAATAGCGGAAGAAATTAGTAGATTTGCTGCGAAATATAAGATTGGAGAACCATCCAAATGAACTAGCAAAGGACCTACTTTCTGCGAACACTGTCAAGAGACTAAGAAGATTAGATCCATTAGACTTAGTATAGTTATATATTTAGTTTAGTGCTTGTAATTATTCTCACATATTTATATTTATTATCTGCTTGCAATTATTGTCACAGTTTTATATTTATTATACTAACTTGAAATACTACCAATGGGTAGTATTTTAAAAACTTATTTAATAACTAATCACAACAATTACTGAATGCCTTCTCAGGCAGTTGTAGTTTAGATGAAAATAAAAAAAAAGTCTGAAATGGGTTCAGGCGTTTTTGAGAAAACGTCGATCAAAGGTCTAATTTTGACAAATGCCAAAAAAAAACGATACTAATTTTTGCAAACTTTGACGAATTTTTAAAATCAAACGACTTGTCGCAGGGCCGTAATATTTTAGTATGATCTATGAGACTATGATATCTACGGTCAAAAAAAAAATCATAAAAATTTTTTTTTAACACTTCTTTACAAGAAAACGGCCCGGCCGATCTTTACCAAAAACTAATCACCACGATTCCCAACCAATATCTTTCGAACGGTTTTTGAATAATCAGAATTGCGGGCTAAAACGTGGACGAATTTTTATTTATTTTTCTGCTATTTATAAAGAAACGGCTTGGCCGATCGTCGCATAAAACTGACAATCAATAGTCTTCATGGAGATACATCGAATGGCTTTTAAATTTTTGAAATGGGTCCAGCCGTTTTTGAGAAAACGTCGATTTACTTTTTTCAAATTTGGTCTCATTCGATTCAGAATGGCTTGAAATGTCGAGAAAACATAAAATTAGCGAATCAGATTTTTTTTATGAAAACATAAACTTCTCCTTCGGGAAGTTAAATATACTCGTATATACAAGGATGGATAGTTTTATAATGTGAACTAGTGGGGTGTATGGCATCGTGCCTTAAGGTATATTGGAACTTTCCGTACCGTAATTAAACATTCGAAGAATAAAAATAATCAGTCAACAAAAATGTCTATGAATAAATTTTATAAAAACTAGAATTTTCATTATTTGTTCTTTGTAGACAAAATGAGAAAACTTATTAGATTAGACGACGTTGTTCATATATGTTTATATATATATATATATATATATATATATATATATATATATATATATATATATGTAAACAAAATCTAATTAAGCGGATTTATTGTTAGAATGAACATATTTTATTTCAAATGCATCAATTTTTCGAAATATTTGCTCTGAGTTAACAATTTTAAATAGTTCCAGTAGTATCAACTATACAAACATAAAAAGTATTAAAAAAAATTACAGACATGGGATTAGAACCCGATCAGTTTTGACTTTCTTATCTACTAACGCGAACGAAAATTGTACTGACGCGCCAACCAACTCAGCTATATCGACATGCTCACGCACAACGCTATGAGCGGATGTCTAGGATCTAATCGAAATTTCTGCACTTTTTGCTCTGTATCTTCGAAACGGCTGGACCTGGCTATACGAAAAACTAATCAGTACGCCTCCACATCAATACGATTCCAATGTTATTTGAATGATCGAAATCGGCCGATTTGTTCTCTCAGACCTGCCATTTTTTGTATTTTTTGCTCCGTATCTTCGAAACGGGTACACCTACCTTCGTCAAAGATTAATCAGCACGTCTCCTTATCAATACGAATCGAATTTTGAATTATTCAAATAGATTCATCGGTGTTCCCGAAATCGTCGACGAAAATTTGTATCCGTACACGCACACACACACACATATATACATACATCCATTTTCTCTAAGGTATGCCAAAATATTCAGAAACCATAAAGAGTTATAAAAATGTTCATTTTCGATTTTTTTGCGATTACTATAACTTACCTAACTACGGGAAGTTAACTAGTTGGTTTGGTATTTAGCCTTGAGGCAAGTTACATGAACTTCCAGATATGTGTGATTAATCGACTTAATCAATAAAAAATAAATTAATTTATGAGTCATGATAAGTATTCCGAGTGGATTTATTACACATAATTGAAAACGAACGAACACGTTAACTCGGAGTATTTTCTAAAAGCAAATTTTCACAAACCAATAATTTTTATAATTGAACCAGTTTTCGTAAGACGTTAATGGTTTAGTATGTTCATTAAGACCAAGTAATCTATCGTTATACCAAGTAAATCATCTAATTTTAATTTTAACAAACGTCAACAAAACTACTCATTTTCTCAACCTTTGACGAATTTTTAAAATTAAACTACTTGTCGTAAGGCCGTGATATTTCAGTAAGTTCTATAAGACCATGATATATATCGCCAAAAAAAGTTCGATAAAAATCGGCTTAATTTTTTTTTCAACAGTTAATTACAAGAAAACGGCTCGGTAGATTTTCATCTAAAACTAATCAGTTTCATTCTCAACTAATAACTTTCGAACAGTTTTTGATTTTTTAAAATCGGTTCGATAGGATGAGCTTAAATGTGGACGAAATGTTTAACACTTTATTTCAAATTACAAAGAAACGGCTTGGCAGATCGTCGCACAAACGATGTCCTCATCGAAATACATCAAATGACTTTTAAATTTCTGAAATCGGTTCAGGCGTTTTTGAGAAAACGTCGATGAAAGGTCTAATGTTGACAAATGCCAAAATGCCAAATGCCAAAAAAACTATACCAATTTTTGCAAATTTTGACGAATTTTTAAAGTTAAACCAATTGTCGTAGGGCCGTAATATTTTAGTATGATCTAGAAGACTATAGTATCTACCGTCAAAAAAATAATAATAAAAATTGTCGAAATTTTTTTTAACACTTTATTACAAGAAAACGGCCAGTCCGATCTTTACCAAAAACTAATCAGCACGATTCCCAATCAATACCTTTCGAACGGCTTTTGAATTTTCATAATCGGTTCAGAATTGCGGGCTAAAACGTGCACGAAATTTTTTTCACTTTTCTGCTATTTATAAAGAAACGTCTCGGCCGATCGTCCCACAAACGATAGTCCTCGTCGAGATACATCGAATGGCTTTTAAATTTTTGAAATCGGCCCAGCCGTTTTCGAGAAAACGTCGATTTACGGCAAAAAATCTGTTCACACACACACACACACACACACATACTTTTTTTCAAATTTGGTCTCATTCATAAGAAAGAAAATTCAGAAAACATAAACTTCTCCTTCGGGAAGTTAAAAATGTAATTATCGATGGTGCGATTTAAAATATTTATGTTTTCAGTGTCGTTCAGTGCAAGCAAACAGGAACTTTCCTCTGTGATAAACTTTGTGAGAAGCTACTGAATTGCCAACTACATCACTGTCAGGATTTGTGTCATGAAGAGGAATGTAAGAAATGTGAAGATCTAATTTTACAAGGTGTGAATACAATTATTATAAATTGAGCGCATTTTTTACATTTAGTCAACGTTTATTTTGAAAATTTAACACGGGTTTAACTTAAGACAAAATATTAATAGACATTCAAACTACACTAATTTAATGAATATTACATGTATATGTTCATAGGATTTTTAAGCGCAGTTTCCAATATATAAAATTGTCAAATATATATATATATACTAGCTGACCCGGCAAACGTTGTTTTGCTAAATAGGGTATATTCTAAACCATTTCTAGAGAATCAAAAATATTAATACTTTAAGTGCATAAGGATGTGTTGTTTGAATGCTGTATACAATTAGGTATTATAAAAACAATAAACCCCATTAGCTTGTCTATATTTTGTCAATACAATCAAACTGCAAGTTTTATACACTTTCTATAGAAAACATCGTATAATCCAATCCGAGTCTTTTTTGGTCTTTCGGCTTATTAATTACGTTTCAAGTTTTTCAGATTCTTTGTGGATTCTGGATTTTGTGTATAATTGTAAATAATACTACTGAGCTTATACAAAATTTTTAAATTTTTGCGAGGAGAGATGAAAAATGAATTAAGTATTTCTTCTTTGATCTGCTTTTTGAAAAGTTTCAAGTTACATTCGATGAATTAAAGTAAATTTAATAAAAAGTATATATGTAGAGCAGGGCGAGGCACAAAGGTCCAATTTGACTTTGAGCAAATATAAACTATATTGTGAAGACCATAACAATTATATCACAACAAATAAGACATATCAAACGAACAATTATCTGACTACGTTCAGTAAACTGACTTCTACTTCATCATTGTAGAAATGTGCTTTTTTGATGTCATCCAAAAATTTGTTATCTAGACCTTTTTATCCTATATGCGGGGTAACTTGTAACAGGCAGGTGGCAAAAGGTTTAAAGCCTTATTATAATTTTAAAGGTATTTAACAAAATAATTACATTTTTAACTAATGCTAAAACTACCAACGGAAGAAAATACTTTTATTATGGATTTTCAAAGATTACCGTTTATCTCCCCCATTTCAAAGATTATCGTTTTCAAATCAAGTTTGTAGCTGGCTATACATCTTTTTTCCTCTACTTTCAAATATTATTGTTAAACAATGCTTAACTTTACTGATTTTTGGCACATCGGTGGTGGACCTTTTTAATCCCGGACCTTCATATATTAATATCTATTCTGCGAAATTATAATTGGAAAAATGTTATTCGACAAAATGTCCATTTAAATCGATACCAAATTTAGGTTCTGAATTTAAATAAGATTAATAAAAAATAATATAACCAAGAAAATGTTTTATAAATACCAATGAGTATATAATTATACAAATGAGATCTTTCAGAGCACCGTGTTTGAGAAAAATATGCCAAAAAGTTTTCATATTAATTTTCATATTAACATATCAAAAAAGTTTATATTTTGAGTCTCTAGTAACACTTGCGGCCCGTTTACTAACGTTTTTGTATATAAATAAAACTACAAACAAAACTACTTACTACAAATTTATCATAAATAAATAATATTCGCGTAAAACATCCTATTAAACGTAATTGAACATCATCTGACAGGTATCCTACACCTTTAATACAAGATGTTTTTAATAATCTTCATCAGAAAGCAGTATTTTCTACAATAGACTTGGAAAAAGCTTACCACCAAGTACACATGCATGAAGAAGATATTAAAAAGACTGCAATTATCACACCATGGGGACTCTTCGAGTATCTACGTATGTCATTTGGTCTCAAAAACGCCGCCCAGACATTCCAGAAGTTTATCAATCATATCTTCCAAGATTTTAATTTTGTTTTTATTTATATAGACGACATCCTGGTAATGTCGACTGATATGAATGAGCACCGTCGTCATCTTCAAATGGTTTTTGAGAGGCTACAGGAATATTCATTCACAATCAACTTAGAAAAATGCGCCTTTGGAAAAGATGAAGTAAACTTCCTCGGTTACAAGCTGAGTGCAGCAGGATATTCTCCTTCACCAGACCGAGTAGAGAAAATAATTAATTATCCAAAACCTTCGACAGTTATTGAACTCCGAAGATTTTTGGGCATGGCAAATTATTATCGTAAGTCAATACCCAAGGCAGCAAGTATACAATCACCCTTAAACAATTACGAAGTGCTGTGAAGAAAGACAAAACTCCAATTTTTTGGAACCCAGAATCTCTTAAGGCTTTTGATGACATAAAGAAAGCACTTGCAAACGCTGCATTACTCCACTATCCAGCTGTTTCAACAAAAATCTGCTTAGTAACCGACGCATCTGCAACAGCCATTGGAGCAACTCTGGAACAAGAAGAAAATAGTGCATGGCACCCTATAGGTTTCTATTCCTATGGGGTGCCATGCTCACATCTACTGAACAGCGATATTCAACTTATGATCGCGAGCTACTAGCCATCTTCGCGGCCTTAAAGTATTTTGAATATCTGCTAGAAGGAAGGCACTTTGTAATCAAGACAGACCACAAGCCAATCACACATGCCTTTCAACAGAAATTAGAAAAAGCATCAGATCGTCAGCGACGGTAGCTAGAATACATATCACAGTTTTCCACTGACATTATATATGTGAAGGGTGATCAGAACGTGGTTGCTGATGCCTTGTCCAGGATCAATGCCATTCAAATGCCTTCAAAGTTAACCGCAGAGGAAATTTCGTAAGAGCAGAGCAAGGACGTTAAAATGCAAACTATATTGAATGGTAACACCTCCCTGAACCTTCAAAAATTTTCATTAAACAGCTATCAAATTTACTGCAATACTCGAGATAATTTTGTGAAGCCCTGCCGTCCACAAAGTATTCTCAGAACTGCTTTTGTCATACCACATGAAAGTCAACTAAGCACTCCAAAAGAATTTAAACCACATAACTTGGAGTCAACGATGGATCCTCCAAGAAAAATTAATCCTAAAAAAGTCTCCTTCAATTATAATAATTAAATTTATTTATTTACTACGGATACTTCATTTTCTTTTGAAGGGGAGTGATGTGGCGGAATGAAAATGTCCTTGACACATGTCAGTTGATTGACGCGAATCGAATATCATATCTAGCAAGCGATAGCTAGCTGGTTGTTACGATCGAAAAATTATGTATCGCGTTTTTAAATGATCGGTAAATTGTCGGGATCAAAATTGATATTCGATTTTATTTAATATCAGTTCCTTTATTAATTGAGTTATCAATAAACTCACATTATCGAGTCTACATCAATTAATTGCGGTTTCATTTCAAGATTTAATTAATAAATAATAAATGGAGCACTTATGCCCTACATATACGTATACACACATATGTACATATATACACACATATACATATATATATACACATACATATACATATATATACATACAACCATATACATATATACATATACACATATATACATGCTCACACATATATACACACATATATACATACATATATATATATATATATTATATATATATATATATATATATATATATATATATATATATATGTTAAAGAAGTTAGTTTTGATGTTGAGAAATATGAGTAAGTTCTTCAAGGGCATACAAAAAAAGAAAGGCAAAGATTTAAAAGTTAATCTTTAATTTTTTTCTAAACGTTTCGACATAGGATTTTATGTCATCATCAGTGGATCTACAGAATGAACATTGAAAAATTAATATAAACTAGGAAAAAATGACAGAAATTGGAAAAAGAACTATAGATATAAGTAATAAAATTATAACAATAACAATTATACTTTACAGATAGATAAACAAGAGAAATGAAAAGTAAAAAGAAATATATATATAAACATACAAGAGCGTAATATATATACATAAATATACACACAAACAAACATATATATGATATACATGTACAAACACGTACACATATACATATATACATGCAACTAATACGTATATATAAATATATAAATACGGACATGCACAAATGTTTATATACGAGGTCTGTTCAAAAAGTACCCGGAATTTTCGTTTTTTCAAAAAAATATTTATTTATTCGTCTACATTAATGTGGTCCCCTTCAAAGTAGTCCCCCCCAGATATAATACACTTATGCCAGCGTTTTTTCCAATTTTCGAAGCACCCTTGATATTCACTTTTTGATATGTCCTTGAGCACTCTCAGCGATTTTGTTTCCCGTTTATTTGTCTCCCGTTTGTCTCCCGTTTATTAAAGAACTCTTTCCCATTTGGAAAAAACTGTTCCACAAGGTCGACTTAAGATTAATTTGTAACATAGACCTAACCCTTAGCTCTCTTTTTTCCAACCTCAAATCACCCACTAGTTTAGAACGCACATCAAATATTGTCTATAAATTAAAATGCAATGATTGTGATTCCATTTACATAGGTGAAACTGGACAAAATTTAATAAAACGACTAAAACAACATGATAATAACTCTAAAAACCCACGACAAAATCAAACTATGATAACAGAACATATAAAAAAATTTAAACATTCTTTTGACTTTTATAACGCTAGTATACTTTATCACGAACGGAACATTATTCAGAGGAGATTTGCTGAATCTTGTCTGATAAGCATTTCTAAATCTTGTGTTAATAAACGCCATGATGCCTCCTTACTCTGTGAAAATTATCAGGTGATACTTAATAATATTTCCAAATTTGTTTCCTCTTAACCTGCATAATTCCGAACCTAAAAACCTACCCTTACGCGGTCCGATCCCGAACTTTGATTCTTAGCCTCTCACGCATACTTCGAAACACTGATTGTAAAAAAACTCGCCAACTATTCCCTCAAACGGTCTCTTCAAATAATTTTTAAACACATGTTACTACAGCCTCGGGCTCGGTCAAATAAACTACGTTCTCTGTGCAAAATATATTATATATTTCACAAATATTTTACTATGCTCTGTTCAACAAAATAATAATAAAAAAAAAAAAAAAAAAAACAAGTTAGTGTATATATAATAGTGCAAAATTATGTGCCGTGCGC